CCTGCAGTGAAGTCCTCTCGTCTGTAGTAATGTTCTCACACCTGCAGTGAAGTCCTCTCACCTGCAGTGAAGTCCTCACTCCTGCAGTGAAGTCCTCTCACTTGCAGTGAAATCGTCTTTTGAAAGTGCTGCTGGAGTTATTCAGATCCCAAATGTGTTGTCAGTCACTTTGGCTACAAAACATACATTTTAAATTCAGCAAGGCAGGGTTGTCAAGAACTGAAAGTTATGTAGAAAACTCAGGTGAGGTTCCTTCTCCAGGGAGGTTGTAGCCTGAGGCCCACAGCGCAGAGGATGCAGGGAACTCCCCCCCCCCCACCGCGCCCCATGTCGCTGTGGGTGCCAGCCTTGCAAGCTGAGGTTTCCATGGCAAAGGCACAGGGCTGGGCGCTGCGAGGCCCTCTTCCGGGGTGCCCGTGTGAGGTGGGATCTCAAGTGCATGCTTCGCCCGCCAGCGGCCCTTCATTCGGGGCGCCGTGGTGTGGCCTGACTGGGCCCCTGCTCTCTTTCAGGGCTGGAGCAGTTTTACAACTGGAGCGAGCAGGTTTGCCTCTGCAGCGAAGGAGGGCGTGAGTAACCCCCACTCCAGCAGATGAGGGGGCAGGGGGTTGGAGAGGATTCTGAGAGGCTTCGACGGGCAAGGAGGGCTTGAGGGGCCACAGGGCAAGGCCCAGGAGGCCCAGAACAGGTGGTGTGAGGCCAGAGCTGGGGCCGTCGGCCAGTGTGGTGACTGCAAGGGCCCAGACAGCCACCGTGCCTCTGGGACCGTCTCTCCTGGCTGATGGAGTAACAGCATGGACGGTTTTGGGGGCTGCCTGTGGGCTGGATCTCCCGGGGCCCCGTTTTCTCTTGTGGGGTCTGGGGACAGGCGAGGGTAGGCCTCTCCCAGCCAGAATGCCCATGCTCTCGTCTTTTCCTTGACTGTAAAACTCAGGGTGTCTGGGCATGGGTTAGCAGGTGTGACCTGGTGGGCGGCCACTGAGCTGCCCTGGGCACGGCCAGAGCCCTTCCTTCCTGGAGCCCCGGCACTGCCGGAGACCCCTGCTGGTTGGCAGCTTGAAGGGTTATGCCGCTTGAAGGGTTATGCCGGCCATCGGGAAAGACTCACGGGGGGCGGGCCTGGGCCTGGGCCAGGCAGTTGTCTGTGAAGGCAGAGCTGGGGTGGCCCCCTTCCCCTCGCAGCCCCCACACCTTGGGGTCCCCCTCCCCCCAGCTTGCGGCCCAGCCAGCTTTGGTGGCCAGGCAGTAGCCGGTCCTGGATCTGTGATTCTGTCTGAGCTGGGAGGGGAGCTGGTGGGGAGAACCGTGGGAAAAGGCCACCTTTGTTCTTTCTTTCAGGCTACGAAGTTTGGGTCCCAGGCAAGTCAGAAGGTAACGGCAGAGGCACTCGCGTCCTAGCGGTCTTTACAATGCTGTCCTAAGTCTGTGAGGTGCTCTGGGTTCCTGGATCCCCCAGCCCCCCATGTGCTCACGGTCGAGGTCTCAATGCCGGCAGCTGAGACTGCCAGGCGGGTTATGGACTAGCAGGCTGAGACCGCACACCTTGCTGCCCAAGGCCAGTCAGCCCCACCGTGCGGCCAGCAGGGTCTCAAGGCCCGTGCGGCTGGCCCTTAGCATCTGGAGGAGTGCTCAGCCTGGTCGTGGTGCCGGCGGCGGCCCAGGTGGTGCCCACAGGGAGCCCCCGCCCCCTCCGGCTCCTCCCCCCGCCCCCCTCCTTCCCCTGCCCCCTCCTGTTCCTCCCCCTGCCCCTCCCCCGGGCTGTGGAGCTGGTTCCCGAGGTCTCCGGTCTGGTGTCTGCGGCAGCCTCGGGCCGTGGCTTTTTTCTCCTGGACGTGTTTGGTGACCGCTCCTGCTTTCCTGTGAAGGCACGTGATCACCGAGGAGGGCACAGCCCGCTTGCCCCGTGTGCCAGGAAGCAAGCGAGGGTCTCACTTTCCCCAAGTGCGTGCTGCTCCTCTGCCCTGGGACGCAGCCGAGGGCTGTGGATCTGGCAGAAGCTGCCATTCCGGTGGCTGTCTGAGCTCCCCTACCTTGTGTGTCCCCAGCTGGGGGTGAAGCCGAGGGGCGGGGCGGGGGCTGCACCCAGCTCATCCTTGGCCTCGAGGTCTGATGCGAGTCATCTGGGTACCATTAGCGAGGGTCACTGCAAAGGGGCTCTCCCGGGTCATGTCCGGGCACTGTTGGTGAGGGTTTGCCGTGGTGGGCCCGTCGTGCTCCCCGGCTCCGGCGCGATCAGGAGCTTCCGGGTGTTGCCGCAGCTGCCCCTCCCATCCTGGCTCTTTCTTTTCTCTCTCTCCACTAATCCGGTTCCTTGTGCCGCTGGGGTAAAGTTTTGGGGCTCCAAGCAGCAGCCAGAGCCGGTAATGCGTCACGTCTGTCTGCGTGTCTGTCCGCGTGTCCGTGTGCATGGCCTTGCCTCTAGCCGTGGCTCTGTCCCCGCGCTGCCTGCCTGTCCTGTCCTCCACTGTCAGGCGCCCACTGGCCCCCTCCCTGCCCGTCAGGCCTGGCCCAGCCCCAGTGCCTGGGCAGCCCCAGCGCAGGTGGCAGTGGCCTTCCCTTCGGGCTGAGTGGAGCGTGCCCACCCGGGGTGGGGTGCCTGAGGACAGAGCTACTTAGTAAAAGTGTCTCTTGAAGTTCAGTGACCTTGAACTAAATGTCTCAAGGGCATTTTATCCTGACTGCTGAGCACTTCCTGTTGTGAAATTACTCCCCTAAAAGCCGACGGCTGGTTTTCCCGCCTTGGAGGGAGGAAAGGGCCCTTGGTGCCACGTCCCCCGATGTTTCCCAGCAGCGTCGTCCAGTACGTGGCCCCGCTGAGGCCCAGAATCGGGAAGCCCGCTCCTGCCCCACAGCCTCTCATCTCTTGGTTCATTCCCGCTTTCCTGCCTGGCTGCTCCTGCCATGGGTCGGGACATGGCGGCTCTCCCCACTTGTGGGCACAGCCGGGCTCTGCTCATCCCCAGACCCTGCTGGTGGCCGTGTGCCTTGCCTGTGGGTCCCCCCAGTGAAAGGTGCTGGAGAGAGGGAGTGCCGCAGCCCTTCGACCCTGTGGGGACGAGTGTGTGCCCTGCTACCCACACGGGCCTGGGCTCAGGCTGGCCAGTGGGTGGGCGTCTGCCCAGCACACTGCCCTCTGGGGTGCAGGGCGTGCATGTCCTGAGAAGCCCTGGTGGTGGAGGCTGAGTGTGAGCACGGACCCCAGGAGGCTGCGTGTGGGGCATCCCTCCCACAGGGTGTAGGCGGGGCGGGGCAGGAGTGTGGGCCAGGTCGTCTCCCCTTCCTCAGTCGCGTGGCTGTGACCCCTGCAACCCTGCTGCCCCGCTTCTGCCCCCATGGGGCCTGAGCTGTGTGCCGACCGGTGTCCGGGCACAGACCTCAGCCCTGCCCCCGCGGGGCCTGAGCTGTGTGCCGACCGGTGTCCGGGCACAG